AAATTAAGACTTTAATGACTGAGATAGAAACAGAGAAAAATATACAAGAAGCCAAGCTTACTTGGCTAGCCTATCAAAATAACATTTCCAGAGTTAACCCCATGGCAATTCCAGAGTTAACCAAAATATGGCATTGCATAAACTTTCCTCAGATAGTCAATGGAAGTGTCCTGGGTTCAGATTTTATCTGGTTACCACAGCTCTCTGGACTGCTGTACATATAGATATGGTGAATGTGACTTGGTTTCTATGATACTATCAGCTGTGCTCAGGAAGAATGAGCTCCTTATATGAAGAGTATATAGACAAACAAAACTTCCTTCACTGATATTTAGGGCTTAGCAACACACATTCCATTGGAGGAAAACTCAGTATTGGCAGGGGTAAGTGAACTTGAAGAGAATAAAGTAAGGTTTTGATTTATTCACAGGGCAAAATAGGAAAGAGCTTAAGAACTAAGGAATCAAATTATGACGCACATTACAGACCAAATAGTATCAATTTACAAAACCTCAAGTCAAACTGAACTCAGATATTAGCTGAACCATGAACTAGACCAAATATATACATATTAAAAGCCAGCAAATTTGTTCAAACTAGAATAAAACCTTATATATTTTCTAGTGAGCAAGAACATCAAAATATTCCTTTAACTGAACCTGAACTGAACCAATGTTTCATTTGGTTTGAATCTCTGGTATGAAGGGACAATTTTGGTTATTTTTTTTCTTTAGTGAATGGTAGTTAAAAGTGGCCTCTTCACGACCTTTAGTTACTCAGTCTACATGGAGGTTATGAACCTTTCCATAAGTTCCAGATCCAAGGCAGATTAATATGAGACACAAATAGCTGCTAACCACCATGGCTTAAAAGAAAATAAAAATGTCTGGTGTCACCCAACACTATTATTCATGAGTTAAATGTGTACTACCCTGCCTATTTCCCTTACCAAAAACTCAGAAAATAACTTGGCATTTTAGGATATGATTCTTCCTTCTCCAACCTCAAACACCTGGAAGAAGAAGAAAAATATACCAACTGAAAACTACATTGTCTACATTATCTCATTCTGAACCTGTGAGAGCTGTTTTCTATTACTATAAATTATAACTGACAATAACAGTAAATATTATCTGTAGGTGCACAAATCCTGTCTTATCTAAAAATCATACTAAAACTTAGAGAAGGTAAGAAATTTGCCTCAACTCACAAAGCTAGGAAGTAGCATAACTGGGCATTCTTAAAGAGATGCCTCCCTCCCCTCTTCCATATCCTACCTCCTCCTATCTTACAGTGGTCCTGAGTCTGAAATGGAGGTGGAGAAGAGAAAATGTGTATGCCAAATCCTAAAATTACCTAATTTACTGTTTTGCCTGAGATCATCTTTTACCTTTATTGAATGTTTACTAGTTACACTTTGCACTTGTCCTAACCAGTGAAGGAGAAGAGGCATAGACATATTATATGAATCCTCCTATTCACTGGAACTAAAAAGCATATAGAGGATTTAGACATAGCAACTAAGGTAAATGTAAACATTCTGAAATTGCCATAAAGGTTGTCTAGACTAGTATTTTATTTCATTTATGTTCATGAACTGATTGAGATGAAGTTTCAAATTTTCTACTGAGATTGATACTTTAGATTGGTTATATGAACAGGATTGTGGATAATTCTGACATCTGTCAAGTAAACTTCCTTGTTCTCCTAGCTTGTGATTGATTTGAGTTTTAATATGTCCTTATTCATTTTTTTAGCAAGGTGTAGTCTGATGGAACAAGAGCAGATCTTGCTTGCCTAGCCTTAGATTTTACTATAACTATTTTCAATTTTACAAATATTCTTTGAGTCCAATGTATTCCTACTGGTTTTTGTCAATGAAGTGCATATTTTGCAGAAGAGCAACTCGGTAGGTAACAAATTAAAAATAAATGTTCGGACATATGTTCAAGCTGTGTTTAGTTACAGGTGGTTGTATTCACATGTTCTGAGTAACCAACTGAGAATCTGTTTACTTAAAATTAATCAGTTATATGATGGTTTACCACTAATTCTTCTACACCTCCTTTGGAGAAATATAGCCCAATTCTATTCTCTTTGAATGTTGGCTACACTTACTGCTTCTAAAGATTATAATATTCTAAAAGTGACACTATTGGCCTTGGAGACAAGGCAGTGCATCTTCTTTGTGCATTCTCTAGAGTCACTGACTCCAGTGAGAGAGCTTGCTCACAGCCATCTTGGAAGTTGATCCTATAGTTCTACTTGAGCCTTGTGATAATTACACCCCCCCTCCCAACACCCTAACCACAACAACTTTAGAAACTCTGAGCCAGAACCATACAGCTAAGCCTCTGCAGAATTCCTGACTCACAGAAACCATGAGATAATAAAAGCTTATTTTAAGCCACTAAGTCGTGGGGTAATTTGTTTCACAGCAGGAAACAGCTAGTTCTGGTTCTGAAAAAAAATGATAAGCTAAGCAATTAATGCCAGACTTTATAAGTCTTAAACAAATGTTTTAAGGTTCTTAAAAAATGCCCAAATAGTTTTATTCTCAATCCAAATGCTAAAACCTGGATCTCTGTACTTTAACCAATTTGAATTTGCTTTGCTTACACCGGTGTGTTCTTCTGCATTCTTGAACAAGATGCCATCAAAGCACGTGGGTTTTTATTCAGTCAGCAAACGTTATGTAAATTCTTTCAAGTCTCTAGCACCGTGCTGGGTGAAATAGGTACTTTGTTCAACTATTTATTAAAAACATTACTTGAGTACTATGATGGGTCAGGCACTGCTCCCTACTGAGGATTTAAAGGGAACATGACACCTTGCCCTTGAGAGGCTCCGTATTTAGTTGAGGGAATAGACAGATAAACACATAATTTACAACACAGTGTGGTGTATATTATCCCAGAGATGTGAACAGCATTCTATGATACTACAGAGAATGGAAAATCTCTCTATGTGAGGTCTTGAAGAATAAATAGGAATTTTTAAGCAAACATTGGTAGGTTAGAAGGATAGCATTCCAAGTGTCGGGAAACAGGGTATGCAAAGAAAAGGAATCATGAAGAGTTCCAACTGCTTTTTCACACTTGAGTTTCCTTTGCCTGAGAATAAAGAGATGGCTGGAGATAAGTACACTCCTGCCAGTGTGAGTCAGGCAAAACACGATATTTTTCTAGGCACAGAAATTTTAAAGCTTGCTCAAGCTGCCACGGAGTTAAAGGGCCCTTGTGCTTCCTGCAGAGTATCAAGTTATAATTCCTATGATGATTTCTAAGCATCCAGAGGACAAATGTGCACGTTTTCTGGGCCATATAATTCTCTTAGTGTGATGAATTCTAAATGAGGGTGAATATGGGCAAAATACCCTATGTACATTTGTAAAAATGGGATAATGAGGATTGTTGGGATTGCTTTGGGAAAAGGGAGGGGGATTAGGGGAAAAGATGGAGGAGGTGGGTCTGATCACGATACACACACATATGTATGTAAGGACATGTCAATAATAAAAATGTGGAGGACAGTATTCAAGTTGTGTGTGCATGAGTGTACTTAACTTCTGAATTTAAACATCTATGGCCTTTATTTTATACATTTATTATAAAAGAATGGACTACGTTGTCTTCAAATCAGTGCCATTCAAACTACAGGCCCAAGACAAGATGTAGTTCTTGCCACTAATTACTCAAGAAGCAGAGGCAGGAAAATCATGGTTTAAGGCCAGACTAAGCAAAAGTTAGTGAGAACTTATCTCAAAAGCAAGCTATGCCTCACAGAGCATGTCTGTGGTCGCACCTACCTAGGAAGTGAACGTACAACTTGGATTTGAGGTTAGCTGGGAAAAAGCATGAAACCTTATTTAACAAACTAAAAAAAGCAATAAGGTGTGGGCATATTCGTTCATGGCTGTAATCCTAGCTACTTGAGAGTCTGATACCTTAAGATCAAAGTTCAAAGCTAGCCTTGACAGAGGTTCTTATTTCTAATTATCCACCAACCCCCCCACCCCACCCCCGCAGAAGTGGAGCTGCAACTCAGGTGGTAAAGCACTAGCCTTGAGCCAGAAGCTAAGGGGCAGCACCCAGGCCCTGAGGTCAAGCCTCAAGACTAGAACACACACACACACACACACACACTCACACACACACACTCACACACACACAGCAAAAATACTAGAGACATCATTCAAATAATAGGCCTTGAATTCACTCCTAAGTACCACAAAAGAAGTTTATAAGAATGTAAATCAAAACATTCACTGCTGCTTTTAATGAAGTAATGCTCTGAAAGGAAAGGTCAGGTGGTCTAAATTGTTTGCTTAGTGGAATAATTAATTTACATTTGACACAAAACTTTAAGATTATACACTGGCTGATAACAAACAGCTCATACTTTGGCAGTGATCCATTGACCACAAATTAAAGATTATTCACAATCTGCTAAATATATTATAAATCCCTGTGGTGTTTTCAGAACCTTGTTGGTGTTCTTTTCCCATTGAAAGAATGAAACAATTTGTATTATCTGTTTTTTAAAATTATATGTATATATAATGACCTTGACGATATTGTGTTACAATATTCTTAGGTCAGCATCAAAATTGAAACTTGACTACATCAATTATGCATATACACTGGGATGTCAGCTTTTTACATTCTTTTCCTTGATGCTGATTTTTCATTTCAGAATTACACTTGTCTTATTTCATTAGATATTTTTTGACAAATGGTGTTGAAGGTAATGACAACAATGATAGTCATGATATTAAGTATTACAGTAAGCACAGCAAATAGGCCAGATTTCTGGTTGTGGCTGTGCTTCCATGACTCCAAACATGCTTGAGTCTCTGAAATGAGAAGATGGGTGGTGATCATGAAGATCATAGTAGTGATAATGAGGAAGTCATTTCTCTGCATCAGAGGGTATTGGCATCCATAAATGAAGTCAGCATGCACAATTAGGAGAAGAACACTCACCGTCTTGGTCGTTACCTGAGTCAGCTGGAGATTTGCTTCTGCGCATAGGGGCAGGGCTCTTGCCCAAACCCTTCTGAGGAGTTGGAGATGCCTTTGGGCCACCGGTGGCTGATGGATTTCCCTTCATGACCCGGCATTCTGGGGCAAAAGAAACAGCCAGCTTAACAGAGGGTCGAACTGTTAGCATATAATCAGTGGAAACTGGACTAATTTCTAGAGACCTAAGTGGCTCAGGAGTACAAGGTCAACTTCACTGTTTGTAGGAACTCTGGAGAGGGAGGCACAAGGAAAAACTTCTGGTCACCTGAGCCAAACTAGGTGCTTAAATCCCTAGGTTGCAGGCCGCACAAGGGCAGGAATTTAGAAGTAGGTCAATAGGTCATAAGTTATAGGTCAATTTACTCATTTGAGGCAGACAAGTTGTGCCTGAGAATAGCACTATGGATACAATGTTTGATTTTCTTGGAGGAAAGGCTGATATGTCTCAGAGGTTAGGTTATAGCTACAATTATAACATCTGAGTAATTTGAAGAGTAAGGAAGGACCACTTTTTGTCTATTGCATGCCACACACTGAATTAGGAACATTATGAAAATCATGTCATATACAAATAATCACTGGTCCACTACCATGTTGCATTTATACAACTCTTTCTGATGCATGTTATAGTCATTTACGCCAGATAACTAAATGTGCCAGCAATGACTTATGTCCACTAATATATACAAAGAAAGCTTATCAATATTTTCCTTTGAAGGGTTGTGCTTGGAAGGTCTCCAAGCCACATAAACCCATGAAAATCCAATGGGGTAGAAGGGAGGGAAACAATCAAGTGATAAACCCCAATGTACTTACCATTTTCATCCAGTGAGAAATCATCCTGGGCATAGCGAAATTTTTCAGGACCACAGGCAATAAATACGTCATCATCACCAAAGAAATCATGAAGACAGGTTACCTGTAGAAAAAGCAGAATACACTGCATTTGAATGTGATGTTCTTGTTACAATGAACCTCATGCCATGACAGCAAGAAGAAAACCATGAACTCCAGGTCCCAGGGATCTCCTTTTTCTCAAAATACCTACCACACTCATCGTCCACACCATGAACCATAAGCTAGCATTTAAAAAACAAAAACAAACAAAAACCCCTGGAAACCATTCCTCATTGAAAAACCAAGAGAGGAAAACTATGCTTACTGCTTGAAAGTTCATGGAGAACAATGTATCCAACAGACTTGAGGCTTTCCTAGTAAAGCCTTGGTCTTAGAACTCTTCCTGCCCTCAAATGCCCTAAGAGACTCTTTTTCAAAAGAATCACTTTATCCTTTTTTTGCACAAAGAAACAAGGATGTCTGAAAATGTATGTTGCTTCCTGCAATCTCCCCACTTCTCAGCTTTCCTAATTACATCTGATAATTAGTCCAGGACATCAGGGAAACCCCAGGAGAAACCATATAGTCAAAAGCATGCTTATCTAACTCCTTAGCTTATAAGTGTTCAAAGCTTCTAATTGTTCTAAGCTTCTCATTAGAGCTGCTAGCAATGGCTTTCCAAAGGCATAGTGATCACAAACTAACAACAGCTTGCTGGGTGCAAAGAGCAATATGTTACATTTGAAAAAATGATTATATTAATAATATCATTCCCTACTCAAGGTTGATTCAATCCTTGTTCCCTGAATCAAAGATGGTAATCCTTCCATGAAAGAAAGATACTAACTACAAGATTATTGCTCAGCCTCACAGTCATCTATCAGATGCCAAGAGGAGGGAGTCTTGGAAGACTGACAGTATTGCTCCTATTAAGCTTCTTACCATCTTTGACTCCCAACCTCATCAAACACCCTTCTTCAGTCCACTTGTCCCTCACCATTCATTCCACAATCATGTAATGACAATCAGGGATACAGTGACTGAATGATAACTCTGTGACAAGCACTCTACTAATAGTTTGTGATCTGTCATCTCATTTTATCTCAAAAACCCCTGAAAGTTGGTATAATTGACACCACTATTTTACAGATAAAAAATTTGAAATCCAGAGACAATAAGTAAATTACCCAAAGGAAAAATAATGAATACAAATGACCAAATTTCTTTTACTTTATAGGCTGTGTTTTTAACCATGCAGCAGTACAAAAATATGTACAGCTTGGGTATTAGAAGGCAGGAATGAACAATACAATATGTTGGACCTTGAGTCAAAGTTGTAGCTTCCCATGGATCCTGATAGAAGGCTTATGACAAGGCTATTCTGCTTCAGCTGCATGAAAAGAAGGTAAGAAGGAATGTACGGAACCATTCTACACATTCAAAAAGACAAAAAGAAAGAATTCAACTAGCACCCAGTCTTTCACAAGTCCCATAAATACAAATGTACAAATGAGAATGGAAAATTGAATTCAGATATTATTCATGTGATTGTGCTAATTACTATGCAAATTAGATGAGAAGGGTTTTTACATCTCACTTCAGTGTCATATACTTTTGTCCCATTGTTGAACAACAAAGCTTAAAGCTTGATAGTACAGAATTGTTAAATGACCCACTCTTTTCATATTATTGTTATTGTAAAGGTAATATACACAGGGATTACAGTTACATAAGTCATGTATTGAGTACTTTTACGTAAGTCATGTATTGAGTACTTTTCTTTTTGAACACTATCCCCTTTTCCCCTATTTCCTTCCACTTTTCTCCCTCCGAATTTTCCTTCCCAAGTTATATAGTACATTTTCAACACAGTGTCTAGTGAGTACCACTGCTTCATTTGTTCACTTTTTCTCCCACCATTTCTGTGCTCTCCTTCATCCTTAATCAATAAACTTGCTTACAATACAAAAAGTATAGAAATCAAAAACAGCTACAAAGGAGGAAAAAAGAGACAAAGTAACATAAACCCTCCTGTTTCCATTTGTTAGAGTTCATTTCAATAAACATTTTATCTGATCATATGCCCATAACTATTGAATCTTTGTGATCTTCTCCTAAGAATATCCTCCTTTGGTCTCATTGGGTGAATGTCTAGAGTTTTGCATAATTTATCATGCCCAAGTGTATTTTTTTGTCTTTTACCATCCAGTGTGCTTAAAGGACATACCTATCAAGATATAAATTGATGGCTAAAGAATGGGAGAATATTTTTACTAACTATGCATCAAAAAGGGCCTCATATCTCAAATATAGAGTTCAAAAAATAACCGCCCCCACCAAAAAACACCCTCAAAGAAACAACAATCCAATAAAAAATGGGCTAAAGAATAAGAGAGAATTCTCAGAATAAGAAGAATGGCAAAATGTTCAGCATCTCTGGCCATAACCCCTGTTGTTTTCACTGTATTTGATTCCAGTACACTGCATCTTGTATATACATTTTCTAATTTGGGGAGGAAAAGGGAAATAACAAAATGCTGAAATAAGGATACAGGTTGACCCATTGTAACAATGAGATGTACAAAACACTATATTGAAAATGAACTTTACAACTTCAGAGGGGGGTAGGGAGGAGTTTGGGAGGTGGGGAGGGAAGGGATGGTAAGGGAAAAACAAAGGAAGAGGTAACAATGCTCAATAGGGAATGTACTCATTACCTTACTCATGTAACTGTAACCCCTCTATACAGTATCTTTATAATAAAAAAAGAAAATTAAAAAAAAGAAATGCAAGGGAAAAAAGAGGAGGAGGCAACATACAGGTGGACCCATTGCAACAATGAGATGTACAAATCATTATGTGGAGAAACGAACTTTACAACTTTGGTGGGGGGGGGAGATGGGGAAACAAAGGAGGAGGCAATAATGCTTGAGAAGAAATGTACTCATTACCTTGCTCATGTAATTGTAACCCCTCTGGTATGGTATTTTCACAATTAAAAACTGCAAATCAAAACAACATTGAGGTTCCACCTTACCCCAGTTAGAATGGCCATTTATCAAGAAAACTAACCATAACAGATGCTGGCAGGGATGTGGCCAAAAGGCAATGCTGCTACACTGTTGTTGAGAATGTAAACTTGTTCAACCACTCTGGAAAGCAGTATGGAGGTTCCTCAGAAGACTAAACATAGAGCTTCCCTATGACCCAGCAATTCTACTCCTGGACATTTATACAACAGACCATAAACATGGCCCACTAAAGCTACCAGTACATCTAAGTTCATTGCAGCATTGTTTACTATAGCCAAGATATGGATGGAATCAATACAGATGCCCTTCAGTGGATGAAAGGATCAAGAAAATTTGATATATATACAATGAAATAAGCAATAAGCATTTGCATATGCTTCTATCAGAAAGAATGATACTGTACCATTCACATAGAAATGGGAAGACTTGGAAAATACATTAAGTGAAGAAAACCAGACCCAAAGAAACATACATTGCATGGTTTCCCTCATTCGTTGAAACTAGAATGTGTTTATAAATCAACAAGTAAACACACTGGATTAAAAATGAGCCACTATTTTTAAAGCGGCCTCTCCACACTAACCTAGGTTTTACAAAAAGCCTTTGAATAACTCCTCTTTGGAGAGTTCTAAGAAAGGCAAAGACCCCTATGTTTCTGACAAACTCACAATGGTAACTGTTTTCAAGCATATTCCGTTAGTCCAGCTGTTCCACATAAGGTTTTTTATTTGGTCCTACCCCCATATTTACAGACTCCCAAGTTTAGACAAATTTACATTATGTATGTAATACCCAGTTCTCCCAAGTACATTACTATTAAGAGGCAAGAGTGCTTACTTTTGTTATAGGGTGGGAAAATAGAATATCCTTTATTTAACATGATCATCTCAAGACACAGAGACTCTCAAGGGTACACAGCTGGTTCATGGCAGAGTTGAGACTAGTACTCAGGTGTCTAGCATCAATTTGGAACAAAATCATTCAGTTGCTTGAGACTTGCCTAAAGCCCTAACCTTAAAGGCTTTTGCACAGTCTAGACAGAACATCATCTATTTGCTCTATTCAATGTCTACTGCACATTAGAACATCTTACTCGATTTTTAAAAAGAAGTTTGAAAATAGATTTTAATCTATGAACAAAAATTCTAATTAATTAGTGGCAACTAAGTAGGTAGTGGAGAAGACAAGAAGGAATAATAAAATAATAGGAAGAAGTAAAAGGAGAAGATGAATGAGAATGGAATGTAAGAAATAATTCTCAATTGAAACTGTCATGTAATGCCTTTTTGAAATTAAATGTAGGTAATGTGACACAAAGTCTACCTTGGCTTATATGTCAAATGTATGTTTTTCCAAATGAGTCTTTTGAGATAAAATTTCTATCATGAGGCGGCAACAAAAGTAGTAAATACATAAAATCATTATCATGATAATCATTATGATACATTTCCAGCCTTTTAGAGAGCAAAGGTCTTGCTGACATCAGCTGAAGCCAGAGAACCCAAAAGCCTGAGACCCATCTTTTAATTAATTACCACCAGCATAAAATCAATAAAATCAACTCTCATTAACATTAAACCATTAATTCAGTGCTGTACCTTAAAAAAAAATCAAGTGTTGAGAGAAAGGAGGCCAACTTGACTGTGCATTAGCATGAACATATATCCATGGTCCAGTGACTTAAATGTCAAAGTACAAATGGGTAAATGGAGACAACAGATCACTACGTGGGAGTGGTTTAAGTCTATTAGCTGTAAATGGAAAATTCACTCTGTTACTTGATTTAAGCTTGATTAGATTCTCTGTCCACAGATTGGATACTGGCAGTTAGTTGTTGTATGTGCCTGCTGCTAGTAGATACTACATTTCACTTACCTAATTATTTAGAAATGTTACCTTAGGAGAATCTGCCTTGGTAAATCAATGATAAACACTTTCAGCCTGGAAAATATATTTACTGAAAGTTCAGTTCTACCAGTATTGACCATTAAGCTTTTACTAGGGCAAAGCAATTATTTGAGAGGCATATGGAAATGTAAAATAAAGAGGA